GCTAATGCTAATGCTATTCCGTGAGAGAGGACAATGATGGGTTTATCTGTGAGGCCTGTGGATTTTTCCAAGAAACACATTGAAGTAGCCTTGTCTCTCCCTTCCCTGCATGTAATGTCTCCCCCTATCTGTCTCCACCCTGCCTGTCTCTCAGGGAGTGATGGTGGGTATGGGACAGAAAGACAGCTACATAGGATACCAGGCTCAGAGTAAGAGAGGAATCCTGACTCTGAAATATCCCATCGAACACGGAATCATCACCAACTGGGACGACATGGAGAAGGTCTCTACTGTCCACTTATCGATACGAAAGCACTGATGCACATGTACTGTTGATCCCGATCAATACCTCTGACCATGTGATCGCTCTGATCATATCTGGCATCACTCGTTCTACAACGAGTTGCGAGTGGCTCCAGAGGAACATCCCACCCTCCTGACTGAAGCTCCTCTGAACCCCAAAGCCAACCGGGAGAAGATGACCCAGGTACTACTGATACCCCCTAGTGATACTACTAATACTACACCAACATATACTGAATTACAACACACACCTCCTCCTGAAGCTGACAGCAACTGTAACGATATTAATACCAATAATGTAAATAATAAGAATAATAATTCTACTAATAAAAACAATCGTGTACATCATAATATCATGAATTATCATATTAATACATACACGTGTAACAATAACGACAATGTGTTTGTTCAGATCATGTTCGAGACCTTTAATGTCCCGGCCATGTACGTGGCCATCCAGGCCGTCCTGTCTCTGTACGCCTCCGGACGCACCACAGGTTGGACCACACTCTTCTTCCTGATGACCTCATCAGTGTGACATCACATGCTGCTAGAAACACACTGACCTGTCTGTCTCTCTCTGGCCGTCTGTCTGTCCAGGCATCGTGCTGGACTCTGGGGACGGTGTGACCCACAACGTTCCGATCTACGAGGGTTACGCCCTCCCCCACGCCATCATGCGTTTGGACCTGGCAGGTCGCGACCTCACCGACTACCTCATGAAGATCCTGACGGAGCGCGGCTACAGCTTCGTCACCACGGGTACGTTACTACTGGTCTGGCTGGTCTGTGTCTCCATAGTAACGCATCTGACCCGCTGTCGCTGTCTTTGCAGCGGAGAGGGAGATTGTCCGGGACATCAAGGAGAAGCTGTGCTACGTGGCTCTGGACTTCGAGAACGAGATGGGAACGGCTGCAACTTCGTCGTCTCTGGAGAAGAGCTACGAGCTGCCTGATGGACAGGTCATCACCATCGGCAACGAGAGGTTCCGCTGCCCAGAGACACTGTTCCAGCCCTCTTTCATCGGTCCGTCTATCTGTCCACCTGTCTGTCTGTTTCTCTGTCTGTCCACCTGTCTCACCTCCCCATGGTCTTGCAGGCATGGAGTCGGCAGGCATCCATGAGACGACCTACAACAGCATCATGAAGTGTGACATCGACATTCGTAAAGACCTTTACGCCAACAATGTTCTCTCCGGAGGAACCACCATGTACCCCGGCATCGCCGACCGCATGCAGAAGGAGATCACGGCTCTGGCCCCCAGCACCATGAAGATCAAGGTGAGACACGCACACCTCTAAGATCCAGCGGGCCAGTCCAGAGGGTCTAAAGCTTGTTCCTGTCCCGTAGATCATTGCTCCGCCGGAGAGGAAGTACTCGGTATGGATCGGCGGCTCCATCCTGGCCTCCCTCTCCACCTTCCAGCAGATGTGGATCAGCAAGCAGGAGTACGACGAGGCCGGACCCTCCATTGTCCACCGCAAGTGCTTCTAGAGAGGTCCACCAAGCACCCCCCCATCTTATCCCACCCCTCCCGGGCAACAGGTCCAAGATCAGAGCCCTCAAACATCCGGGCAGGAGGACGGCGATTTTTCATAATTAGGAAAATGCAAAAAAAAAAAATGATTATGACTTCGCTAAAGGAAAGGGATGTCATCTTTACCTGCAGTTTCAGCTCAAACATCCTCCTCCTGTGCTCACTGTAAAACTGTGAATGTGCTGCTTGACCTCACCTTGCTCAGCCCGTGGCCCCGCCCCCTTCCATGTTTGTTGTCAAAAAGAGTGTTTTTTATTTGTCATGAATTAAGCTTGAATGTCTTCCATCGCTATACAGCACATTCACGGGTGTAATGATGATGTCACGGCTGGGGAACAGGAGGCGTGGCTCCTGAACATGGTGTTGTCTGTAGAGAAGTGAAGTGTGTGATGTGACGTCAACAACATGGAAGTGACAGACGATTGAAGAAAATAAAGAGCTCTCATTTTACTTTCAGATTGGTTCTTTTTATTTACTCAAATACAAAGTGTTCTTCGGACACGTCAACTACTACGACAACTTCTTCAAAGATCTCCTCCATCTCTATCCTTCAACCCTCACAACTATATTCATCACTAAACTTCATCCACCACTTCTTTCATCTGAAGGAAATCAGGAAGTTTTAAGAGACAAAAAAAGACTTTAATAAAATCATATATATGGTCTGAAAACTCAGCAGCAAGCAATGTTTTATTAGCAAAAACAAGTCAGTTTATAAAAACAGTAAAACAAACTGACACATACACCGTTCAGTTTCCTCATCATGGCGCCTCCTGTCTGTCACCTGAGGTCCAGCAGGCTGATCTTTGAGTCCTTCAAAACCACGTGTTTGCACACCTGAGAGGACAACAGAGAGACAACGTTCAAATCCTTAAAGGAACAGTCCAACATTTAAAGGGGCGTTTACGGACTAAAATGAGCGTGGGGCGTTCAAAGACTAAAACAGGTGTGGGGCGTTCAGACAGAGTTGTCCCAGGTTGTGATTGGCCGAGGTCTGGGGGTGTTGTGTCTCTGGTCCAATTACAGAAGAGGCTTCTCACACTGAAGAGAGGAGGCTCCTTGGAGTGAGGATGGAAACCTTTCAGTCTGCAGACAGAAACCTCCGACATTCCGGAACCGGTTAACCTGAACACACCAGCACTAGAGGGGAGGGGGGTCAAAGGTTAGAGGTCCCCCTAATGCAGATTGATTGGTCTGTTAGTGATTGAAATAGCTATAGCAAATATTATCCCACTTAAATAAACTATTTACTGAGATTAAAGAACTAATCTTCACGCATGTGTGTGTGTGTGTGTGTGTGTGTACCTACTCGTTGTGTTTAGGAGCACACACGATGGCGATGGCCTCAGGGAGCATCAGCTGATAAGAGCAGTGAGTGTGAAGGTCAACGCTGGAGAGGAAGGCCGTCTGAGTCGGATGAGTCTGAACAGTTCAGATGTCAAAGGTCACCGAACAACACAGACAACAGTGAGGACACGGCTCCAAATTTCCTCTGAGGACACCGACCACTACTGCAGCACAGGGTAGGACATGTCCCCCC